ACCCATAGCAACGCCCAGTGTGACTTCACAGGATGTGGGAGGCACTGCGCCTGTGGGAGACGTCCGCATCATTCACTCACCCACGCCGTCATGATAGGGCATCACATACGTAACAGCCAAATCCATTATTATCGTATGGTCCTGGCAACTGCAGGGCTTGACCCTGATGCGCGGACCCAAGCCGCTTTGTACAGGACGAGAGGCACTGTGCCCGTGGAAGGTACCCACATCCACTCCTCCTCCTCCTCCTCCTCCTCCTCCTCCTTTCTCTTCTCTCTGTGCTATTCCTCCCCCCCTCAATTCGAACAGGCCCGCCTTCTCTTAGCCTTGTTTGGGCCAGAGTCGTCGCTCAACGGCCAGGTCAAGCCATTGTGGCTCTCTCTAGCCCGTCTAACAAGACGGACATCCCCAGCCAGATCACAATTAGTCTGCCGCTCGCTCCATACCGGGCACCCAGCCCAATTACGTGCCGACCTAGCTTTGTAAGGTAATGCACCCCCGCTCTTCCTCAAACATTCCTCCTCCTCCACCATCATTGCCACTACCACTGGGTGCGGCGGTTGGGCGCGTCAGGAGCGAAAGACGCTCGCACGATTTCGTAGTTGGGGCTCTAGACCCGTCTGTGTGCACCAGGCACTTCTATACGTCAAGCCGCGGCATACGACGATCTCAAGTCAAGAAGGTTCCCTTCCACTTCCCCCTCCCCCAGTCCATCCTCCCTCATCCCTCCTCCTCCTCCTCCTCCTCCTCCTCCTCCTCAATCCCCTTTCCTTGTAAACAACCCCTTCCTGTCGCACCCCCCAGACGTGTCAGTAGGGCGGGCCAGGCGAGCCGCTTGAGCCGTCCTCGCCACTCATGACCCTGAAGCTCGAGAGTTGCAACAGCTTCAAGGGTGGAGGGCGGCTCGATGCCAAACTGTGGCTCCCGCCCTGGCGCCGCGCACGTTCGCCTTGAAAGCTTGCAGCAGTTTCAGGCATGGAGGGCGGGCCATTTCCATCAAGTGGCTCTCGCCCTGGCGCCGCGCGCATTCGTTTCTTTCAGGCTCTCGTCTTGGCACCGCGCGCATTCGCTTTGAATGCTTGCAGCAGTTCTAAGGATTCGTAGGGCTGACGTCCCAAAAATGCTGTTCTGGTATGGTTGAGGATTGTCAGGACGCAACAGGTACGTTGATCCGTAGGGTTAAAGTCCCAGGAACGGCGTTCTGGCACGACTTCTGATTGTCAGGACGCAACACTCACAGCAAGTCGTGGCGTTGGAGTCACAAGAACGGTTTTGGCACGCAATTCAGGAGTCTCTCAAACAATTGTCTTTGAGTGGGGCACTTCCCACCGTCAGCATTCTTTCTTGTAGGAAGAGGGAACCGGGAGAAGGTCCCTGTGTTCCTGATTTTACCTGTTGATGCCTCGGATGTTCCAACGTGGAACGTGAAGCCAATGACAACCCCACACAATCTCGAGGTCTTCAACGGATGCTTCCGGTCAGGACGCGCACACTTCTGGTAGCTAATGTGTCCTAGCGGAGCTGGTTTAGGACGGCCTTGTCGTATTCGTTCAGGGCAACGGATGGTCTTCTGGGCTTCAACAGCTTCACCTGTGGACCGAGACACGCACACACATCAGGGGCCTGTGCTGACCCATCCGGTTGGAGGCGTGAAGAGCACGGCGGGCTAAAGGCCAAGCATTCCGCCCCTCTAGATGGTACCCCATGTCATGCCAGCAGTGGATGCAATTGAATCCGAGAGGTGTGGACAGTGCTTGGAGGTGTGGTGAGCGTTTGCTCGCGCTGCTGCACGCAGTTGCGCGCGCAGGCGCCAATCCTTCTCCTCCCCCCTCCTCCACCCTCCTCCCCTTCTTACTCCTCTCTTCCTCTTCTCTCTTGTCCTCCACTTACTCGTCCTCCTCCTCCTTTCCCTCCCACTCCCCCTCCTCCGGGCAAGGCGTACGCCAACGAGGTCGAAGAGCTCAGAAAGGGACACGGACTGGGACCACCACATGGACACGTCGCGCCAGCCTTCGTCTAGGGCGTCATCGAGATCATGAACAATGAAGAGCGGCCATCAGAGAAACTAGAGCTGGCGCTGAGGACCTTGGAGGAGTCCATGGAGCTGGTGAACCAGCAGTGTCAAGTGCCATCTTCGTCACAGGGGCCTTCCTGATGCGCATGGTGCTGGAGGCATACAAGAAGGACGGAGATATGGATGAGGACGGCATGGGGAACGTGCAGTACGCGATCGGGACGTTGCCGAAGCTGCGGGCGGCGCTCAACGGCGAGGTCGAGATGAGCGCCGAGCGGTACCAGGCGTTCCTGGGCTTCCGAGCAGACTTCTTCGAGTTCAGCCTCGGCCTGGCGATCTCGCGCTCGGGGGGGCACCACGAGTCGGCATAGCGCCGCGAGGTCAGGGACCGAGCGCACGGTAGAGGCGCAGCTGGAGCGACGTCGTTAGACGAAGCAGTTCCCCGCAGTCGCTCGCGCCCGCCTCAGCCCCAGAGTGCAACTGCCCGAGCGCCACGCAACCCTGGCCCTACTGAGCCAGCCCGAGAGACGGTGCCGGCTGTGCCGCCAGTCCCGAGGATACAACACAGAATGGCAGATCAGTATGAACTCAATGCGACTTCACCCCCGAAGGCCCAAGCCCAAAGGCATGGAGGCCACAAGGCCCGACTACTACAAGTGGCAAACTATCAACGAAACAATCGTGCTACATAACACTACACTGCAATAAGAATGGCACATCAGGGAGTGTGACACCATTACTATGCACCCCCCTATTTACAAAAGCATCTCACGACATCTACATCGTGCCCTCCCTCACCCCCACTATACTAGAAATAACTCTCGACAGGTATCAACTTACTCTTTGCGCTTCACCATGGGGTTACTAAGGAATATGGCAACGGACCCACGTCTACATCGACATCCTAGATACGTGGTCCCTATTCCCCCCCCCGCAGCCTCGCTAGGGCCCCCCATCACCAACGGCAGGAACATGAGGAACACACAGACTGCTAAGGTCACTGCAGCAGGACGGTCGGAGCCCTGGACAATGGGCAGAAACTGCAATTACGGTCACCGCGTCCAGACTACAGCGGTGCGCCTTCCGTAGCTTGTGCCTTAGCGAGCAGCTTTGATCAACTTCCAACGCGACTCCTGAGGCTCAGAAGCCCAATCTGCGCCAACGTGGCCCTACCATGTGGGACTCAAGCGTGAGGCCACCAGCCGAGGGCGCCCACGGGTCTTTGACGAGCGTGGCACGAAACCCAAGTGGAGGACAAGTACACGACAAGGGCGACGACCACAACTAGACCCGCGGCACGATGTCTTACCGCCTGCAACCGGCCCACCATACAATGCAGTTCACCATGGAGGCCTACGACAACTACGGCAAGACGGTCAATAACGTACTCTACGGGCTGTATCGCCAGAGGGAGAGGCAGAGGGCAACTCACCAAGCTGGCGAACATCGATGACTACAAGAGCGTCAAGTACAGGAAGGACATAGGGCGCGCGCAAGTGGATTTGATCCTGAAGACCCAGGTCGACACTGCCACCACCCACTACCAACGCCGTTCGACAACGCAGACAACTAGTCAGGGTTCTTGGGCAAAGCAGGACGACCATCGGGCCGTTCCCATGGGAGCTGGATTGGGCGAGGCGTCAGGCGAACAAGCTCGACTGAATATACACAAAGTGGACGAGGTATGCACACGGGTGGGGCTACGACATTGCCCAGCAGCAGGAGAACAACAACACTGCCGCGGAAAAGACTCCTGGAGTACAGCAGAAGTTACCGCAGACACCACGCCTGTCGTGCGGGAGTCTGTCGCCCGCGGTCTTGGCGTGGAGGGAGGACGGCAAGTCACCAGGGGGCCCGACAGCAGGAGGTGCAGGTGCGAACGCGAGCAGCGGACAGAGTCCAGGGGACCTACGAATGAGGGACTCACAGGTGGGAGTCGGCATCGGACAGATAGGCCAAAAGTCTTGAGTGAGCCCAATAGCAGAACAGCCAGCAAGTCAGACAGTCAGTACTTTTTCTCGATAGGGGGGGGCACGCCTCAGCTAGCATTCCTTGGCCCAGTCAGCGCGGCGCGCCGATGTGTCGCTGAGGCAGCTCGCTCCCTTTCTGCCATTCGCCAGCTGCGTACACTCTCTGAGGGCGGGGGAGTTGAGGAAGGGGGGAGTGGTGTGGGGGTCGGGCAGGCAGGCTCCCAGAGGGTGTGTGTGTGTGTGTGTGCACCAGAGAGCGGTAGCCGCCTCCGCCCGCTGGCAGCAAGCCCGTTCTCTCACTGAAGCGGGATCTTCCGCCAGGCGGAGCTGTCCTGCTCCCCCCCAGGCAACTTCCCGTGCCATGAGGTCGGGGCTTGCATCCGTACCCCACCTAGGGGTCAGTCAAGCAGATTGGTTGACTTTCAAATCCCCAGCGGCCTGATCCGTATCCTTGTCCTTATCCTTCCTCCTCTCCCTCGTCCCTCCATGTCGACCCCCAGACCTCTCCGTGAGTGCGCGCTGACCTAGACGTCGAGGCGGATGCAGCTGTGGCGACGGAGGTCCCCCAGGAAGCTCAAACCATGAAAAGCGCATACCCAAACCCTCCCCCTGCCCTCCGCGCACTTTCGTGCGCAAGCGGGGCCGGGGGGATGAGGGATCGGATCAGACCGGCTGTCCACGAAGGAAAGGTCAAACCCTGTCTGCCGGGTGAGCGCCGAGTCCAGTTGGGCCCGACGGTCTAGGGGCTAGGGGGACGAGGGAGGGAGAAGGACGACGAGGGGGAGGAGTCCTTCTACTCTGCCTGCCCCCCCCTTGGGGAAGCGCAAAGGTACCGATGCCGCTACTCCCCGGATCTCTCCCGGGGTGCGTTCTGACAAGAATCTCGGGGCGAATCCAGCGGCGGCCCCAAAAAGGGTAAACGAGCTAAAGGGCAGCGGAATCGGAGTACCTTTTCCTCCTCTGACCCTTCTCCTCCGATGCCTACGACGCCGACGATGCCAAGGCGCGCGTGGTGCCTCGCAGCAGCTCCAGCAGTCCAGCCGGGGCCGCTTCGCCGCGGGGCCGCCGCCGCCCTGCCGGCGCCGTCGGAAGTCCGCCGACCCCTTGTGGGTCTCTAGGCGTGTGAGATAGTTCCCCCCCCTATAGTCCCCCCCCCGGGACCCCAAACCGGCGATTTGACGAGCGCCCCCCCCGGGCCCGGGACGAGCGCCGCCGGGGCTTTTCCGGGCCCCAGGAAGCCTCAAGACGGGCCAAGATGGCCCCAAGAGGCCTTCAAGACGGCCCACGGGAGCCCCGAGACGCCAAACGAGCGCTCCAAGACGCCCAAGATGGCTCAAAGACGGGCTAAGAGGCCTCCAAGACGGCCCAAGAGGTCCCCAAGAGGCCCCAAGAGGCCTCCAAGATGCGTCCCACGAGGGTCCCTAGACGCAAAAATTGGCCCATTCCCTTCGTAAAACGTACATTTTTCACGAATTCGCTTTTTGGGCTTTCCGACGCTCCCAGACGGCCCAAGAGGCCCTAAATACCGCCCCAAGACGGTCCAAGCAGCCTCCAGGGAAGCTCCAAGGCAGCCCAAGAGAGCCCCAAGACAGCCCAAGAGGCGCCCAAGATTGCCCAAGAGGGCCCCGAAGACGGCCCCAAGAGCGCTCCAGGAGCGCTTCAAGTGGCCTCCAAGAGAGCTCAATATGGTCACAGACGGTCGAAGAGCGATCAAAGACACCGACGATCGCCTCCAGACGGCCCAAGACGGCCCCAAGAGGCCCCCAGGAACCCCCGGGGGCACCAAAAGAGCACCCCTGGGGGCCCAAAAAGGCCCCAAGACGGCCCACGAGGACGCCAAAGCAGCCCAAGAAGAGCCCGAAGAAGCCCAAGAGAGCTCGAAGACGAGCCCAGGAGTAGCCCGAACAGCCCCAAAGATGCCCCCCTCAGGCCCCGAAGAGCTCCCAAGAAACCCGACAAGAACCCCAAAACGACCGCCAAACGGTTTCGAACCATCTGATCACTGACTTCAATTAAGGGGTCGGCGGATGTGGCGTAAGCCTGAAGAATCTTTGCTACTCGTTTGAAGAGCCGCTCGGGTGGCCTTCGGAGGCTGACGGACGTCTGTCGGAAATCAGATCCAGAAACTCCGCGCGGAGCTTCGAACGTCTTATGTTTGTGCAATCAGCTACAAGGTGGTGGTGCAATATATTGGGTGCAATCGATTCATGTGCTTGCATTCGACTTGGGGCGTGCAATACATTCCGGGGCGTGAAATCAATTCCAGGGCGCAGATGTGTTGCAGGCGTTGTGCGAGCTTGCAGTACAAGCGCCCCAATTCTATTGCACCACCCCCTTTCAGCTTGCCCCCCTTGTGGGTCAACCCGAAGTTTCTTCTGCTTCGATGCCCACACGTCGCCCGCTCCCTGCCCCCTGCCATCTGCTCCCCGCCCCCCCGCCCCCCCCGTACCCACACCCTGTACGATCAGGCAGGATGGGTGCCGCTCGCCTGTGTCGGCTGGCGGGGGCAGGCGACGCCTCTAGTCGCTCCTGCCTCCACCACGCCCCGGGCCCCGGGCGGCGCAGCCGCATCTCCGAAGAGTGGGGGGTGGGGAAACCGGAGGTCCGCCAGGGGGGGCGGGCTCCCAAGCCCGAGTGGCCCCCCCCAGAACTGATCCAGAATGGCCACATCCGGACGGCGGGATTGCATTGCCAGGAGACTCCCACCACCGGGGCGGTCGGAGGCATAGCTTCCAGGAGCACGCTCCTTGAAAGCACAAGCCTGCTTTCCAACTCAAGCCCCCCCAAAACCACACAGCATCTTGTCGCAATGCCGCCGAAGTGGCCTATGCCACTCACTGCTCCGCTCCTGGCTCTGCCGCGGAAAGTCCCTCCAACTTCGCGCAGCGCTTGCACCGTGCCGCACGGTGCTTGTCAGCTTGCCTGGCCGACAGCAAGCGGAAGTCGCTGCCGTCAAAGCGCTGATGTGCAGGCAGGTTCGCCCCTGACTTCCCGTCAGCATGTAACCGGGTTCGCGGGCGAGCTCCGCACTGAGTTGCTGATCTTTGGCCCCGATCGATTGAGCCTGTATACCCCCAGGGCCTGCGCCACCTTGGCGTGCTCTGTCGCTGCTGCCGCCACGCGGGCGTCCCAAGCGGCTGAAGCCTTCGGCTCGTCGGCCTCGTGCGCCGCGCCTGTGCCTGTGCACTCGGCGTATGCCTTCTCCACATACTCCAGCACCTGACCGCTCGCCCAGCGGCCCGGGTGTTGAATGGCCAGGATGGGACAACCTTCACGAATGCACCGCTTCGCACCCGACCTCCTGGCTGAATGGCCCGAGATCCGTGCGGCGTCGGCCACGAGTCCGCACCACGTATGACCATACTCGTTTTAGTCGGCGCATGGTTGCTGACCGTCGGGAACAACGGCTGGTCCCAGGCGCCCTGCTCTCCACGTCTGACGCTTGCAACCCGTCCACCTGCTCAACCAACGCGTGGTGCGGGCAGGAATCAACGCGAACGCTCGGCGAGCACAAGCAGCGAAGCCTCCTCTCCCGCCCGCTGCCTCCCTCATCGCACTCGGAAGCCGGGAGAAAGAGCAGTGCGACCTCGCCGGGCTCGAACGAAACGCCCGCCATGCGAGCACCTGCCACCTCGATATCCCTGAGAAGCCAGCGGTTCGCCACCGCGTACTTCCTCGCAAATTATTGAAATGCCGCGCCCTCGACACTCGAGAGTCACGTTCTCGCCCTTGACTTCATTGCGACTTACTGGCGGATCTCGCAACCAATCGCGACACTCCACGCGATTCACGCAGGACTGACGCTTCAGTAGCCCGCCCGCTCGCTTGGGCAACCGACTGTTATGCTCGACGTTCCCGCGTATTTTTCTGCATGGAGGTCACATGTGACATGTTCGACCGCATAGTGTTGGCGACGCTAAAGCTGATGAAGGCGGCGACGGTGACGATGTTTTGTGTCCACCGCAGCAGTGGCAATGCAAGGTTACCAATCGATGTCCAGGTGAGTCTAGCTTGCTAGTTAAAGCCCACGCCAGAGAGGGATAGAGAGAGAGAGGGAGAAGGAAAAGAGAGAAAATACTATAAATAATTAGCCTGGCGAAGGACCCAACCATATGCAGTTGTCAATGCCGCAATTGTGCTGGGTGGTGGCGGACGCATGCGGGCGGTGCCACTGGGACCTTCGGTGGAGCTCCCTATGGGGCCACGAAACGCTGTACTGGGTGGGTGAGACGCGGTCAGCAAGGGCTGTGCTGCGTGGTGGCGGACGCATGCGAGCGGTGCCACTGGGACCTTCGGTGGAGCTCCCTATGGGGCCACGAAACGCTGTACTGGGTGGGTGAAACGCAGGCAGGGAGCAAGGGCTGTGCAGGGTGGTGGCGGACGCATGCGGGCGGTGCCGCTGGGACCTTTGGTGGAGCTCCCTATAGGGCTACGAAGCGCTGTTCTGGGTGGGTGAAGCGCAGGGAACAAGGGCTGTGCTGGGTGGTGGCGGACGCAAGCGGGCAGTGCCACTGGGACCTTTGGTGGAGCCCCCTATGGGGCCACGAAACGTGCGAGGGGTGTGCCAGAATGGGGTGTGGAACCGCATGCCAGCGCAGCCACTGGGGCCTTCGGTGGAGCTCCCTATGGAGCCACGAAACGTGTGAGGGGTGTGCCGAAATGGGGGGTGGAACCGCATGCGAGCGCAGCCACTGCGGCGTTCGGTGGAGCTCCCTATGGGGCCACGAGACGTGTGAAGGGCGTGCCGAAAAAGGGGGTGGAACCGCATGCGAGCGCAGCCACTGGGGCCTTCGGTGGAGCTCTCTATGGGGCCACGAACCGTGTGAGGGGTGTGCCGAAATGGGGGGGGAACCACATGCGAGCGCAGCCACTGGGGCGTTCGGTGGAGCTCCCCATGGAGCCACCCACGAAGCGTGTGAGGGGTGTGCCGAAATGGGGGGTGGGACCGCATGCGAGCGCAGCCACTGAAGCGTTCGGTGGAGCTCCCTATGGGGCCACGAAGCGTGTGAGGGGTGTGCCAGAATGGGGGGTGGAACCGCATGCGGGCGCAGCCACTGGGGCCTTCGGTGGAGCTCCCTATGGGGCCACGAAACGTGTGAGGGGTGTGCCAGAATGGGGGGTGGAACCGCATGCGGGCGCAGCCACTGGGGCCTTCGGTGGAGCTCCCTATGGGGCCACGAAACGTGTGAGGGGTGTGCCAGAATGGGGGGTGGAACCGCATGCGGGCGCAGCCACTGGGGCCTTCGGTGGAGCTCCCTATGGGGCCACGAAACGTGTGAGGGGTGTGCCAGAATGGGGGGTGGAACCGCATGCGGGCGCAGCCACTGGGGCCTTCGGTGGAGCTCCCTATGGGGCCACGAAACGTGTGAGGGGTGTGCCAGAATGGGGGGTGGAACCGCATGCGGGCGCAGCCACTGGGGCCTTCGGTGGAGCTCCCTATGGGGCCACGAAACGTGTGAGGGGTGTGCCAGAATGGGTGTGGGAGGGGGAGGAGGGGGGAGGAAGGGGAGGAGGAGGAAGGAGGAGGAAGGAGGAACGCGGGGCGACGTCTCTTCAAAACGAGGACCCAACACCACAGGATGGTTGGGAATAATGAAACACATAAAGACAAGGAAACATAAAGAGAGAAAGAGAGAGAGAGAGAGAGAGAAAACATAGCGATCAGCAACTAAGCCACCGACCGCATCCGAGCAAAACTTCTCAGACCCATTGGCCAAGGAAGGATCGGTGCGCAGCGGTGGTCCTGGCACTTCTTCGTTAACCTGCGGGGCGCAAGACGGAGCGGAAACGAGCGGGCGCTCAGCGAGGCCTCGCACATGCCTTGCTGCGCGCATCTGTGCCAGGTCACCCGAGGGCGTTAAAAGGCCGAAGAACAAACGCAAAAGTCTGCTTACCTACGCCGATCGATCGCCCATGGCAGCAAGAGAAGCTTTCGGGCTACCCGCCGAAGAAGCATAGGTGGCGGCGTCGCTTGGCCGCGGCGCAAAGAGAGCGAGAGCGCAGACAGAGGCGCCGAGCAGCTAGAGAACGGAACGCAAAAGCAACAATGGGTGGCATGCCATGCATCAAAGTTTGACAACATCCCCCCCCAAACGCAACCGCAGGCCGCAGGGGGCCGCGCCGCGGTGAAGGGCCCAATCGGAAGCCGCGACGCGCTGGCAGCGGCACCAGCGCAGCGGTGCAGCCGCAGAAGTGGCGCGCCGAGGAGCGGGCGTCGGCGATCTTCTGACCCGGGTCAATCCAGACCCGGGTCAGCAGGAAACTAAAAACTGAAATGCAGGAAAACAAAAATGCAACGCAGGTCTGCGCAAACCCGGGTCAGCCAATGGGCGCGGCCGCCTCGCGGCCACGAGCGGCTCGCTAACCTGGGTCAGCCAGAGGGGGTCTTCGCAGGATCCTGCAGGATCTGGCGCTCTGGCTGACCCCCGTTTGCACTGACCCCCGTCTCGAGGCTCCCGAGGGCGCACAACGACGGCGCCACCGGGCAACGGCAGCAGCAGCAGGGGAGCAGGCACGGGGGCACGGACGAGAGCGAGAGGATGACGAGCGAGAGCACCGGCGACGGCAGCCGCACATCAAGGGGGCGCAGAGGCAGCGCCCGCGGGGAGGAAGGAGCGGACTTCAAGCGAAGACCTCCGGCGCGCAGAAGGAACCGAGGCCACGCGGTTTGAGTGCACTGAGCCCGGGATCTCGTTGTCGAGCGCCTGTTGCCTCGAGGCAAACGTCTCCAGCGGACTTACAGGTCGCGAGGCGACCCGCGCGCTGGGGGCGGGCTCTCGCGGAGGGCCACGGCGCCAGGCGATCTGGAGAGAGAGCACGACCGAGTTAAAATGAAGCAACGGCCAACTCCTTGCTGCGGCCCCTTGGCCAGGCGGCCTCGACATCGGGGCGACACCCACTGTGGATCCGCGCACGGGCTTGACAGACATCTTTATGGCGGCAACGTTGAGACCCCCGAGAGATTGCCCAGGTAAAAAAGGAAAACATATAAAATGATGGCACACAACCGTCGTCGATTAGGGCGCGGTGGCGGGGGTACGGAAACTCAACGGCGGAGACAGGACTCTTCCGCCAAAAAGTGAGCAAGACAAAAGAGCGAGGACTAAACTCAAGCGATGATATTCAGGGCATACAGCACAATGCCCCAACATCTCGTGCGACCGCTCCGAAATTTCAGCGGTAACAAACGGGGCCGCGGTGAAGGCGGGCGCTGTCGCGGACACCGCGAGTGAGAACACGCAGCACAGCAAGCCCCCACAAGGAGCTCCGCCCAAGGCCTGCGCATGGCACCGCCCGCGCGCGTTCCCGCCACTCATTTCGGCACACCCCTCACACGCTTCACGGCCCCATGGGGAGCTCCACCTCAAGCCCAAATGGTGCCGCCCGAACGTCCCCGCCACCCATTTCGGCACGCCCCTCGCATGTTTCGTGGCCCCACTGGCAGCTCCGCTCAAGGCGCCAGTGGCGCCGTCCGCATGCGACCCCGCAGCCCATATCGGCACACCCCTCACACGTTTCGAGGCCCCACAAGGAGCTCCACCCAAGGCCCCACATGGTGCCGTCCGCATGCGTCCCCGCCACCCATGTCGGCATCCCTTGCACGTTTCGTGGCCCCTACAATGAGCTTCACAGAAGGCTTAAGCTGCACCCTCCGCGTGAGTCACCGCCACCCATTGCTGCACACCCGTTAAACGTTGAGTGCCCGCGT